TGTCTCTCTCATGCTCAAGACAGTGTGTGGGGATGGGGGGGCTTTTTATATTAACTCACATGGCTTGATGGCTTCTATGTCTCATCTCCCATACTAGATCATAATATAATGTCTGTGTCTCTCAGAGACTAGTCCCAGGTCTGAACATAGCAGAGAGAAAGGCTGCTTCTTTTCTAATAACCTGAACATTATTTATTACTTGGTTCTATGCTGGGAATATTCCTGGAAGGTTAAAGTTTATGTTATTTCCCTTTCCAAATTCTATTAAAAACAACAACAGAGAATGAAAAGTTATATCTATCTATCAGCTATGTAATGTCCTTTGAAAGAATTTGATAATAAAAAGGGTCTCATGATCTTAAATCACCAAATTTTCCTTCAGATTTCAACTTTAAAGACCAGTGACAGTGGAAGATGGAGTCCTGGTGACTCAGATGAACAGCCCCCACCAGGAATTAGAGACCCTGGTTTGTGTTCCAACTCAGCCAATGATCGCTCTGTGAATGTAAGCAAGTCATTTTGCTATCGGAAATCGTTCTTTCATCTTTAAACTAAAGAGATTAGACTAGGATTTATATTCAAAAATTTAAAAATTATGAAATTTAAAAATTTGTCCCCAAAGGCACAAATACAACTATAAATAGAAATCCAAGATGGGTCAGAGTCTCTCTATAATCTACCCACAGATTCATTAGTGGGCGTTCAGATTATTTCTAAGGTCTAAAGCCTGTGGTTAAAAAGAATGAATCCATTTCCATTTGCTGTTCCTGATGTGAATTAGTTTTAAAATATAGATTTGGGCCACTTATGTCTTTTGACATTATAATTACCTTTTTGTAACTTAGACTACTCACAGCAGAGCATTTTTTTTCTCAGTTAAATAAAAAGGTCTCTTGTACATTAATATTAACATCTTAGGGTCAGTGAAGTTGTTAGTCTAACCTGCTACTCGATGCAGAGTTCCTTCTATAACTCTCCTCAGTGATCAAAATGTAGCTTTGACTTGAACACACAGTGATGGGGAGCTCACTCACATGTTTATTGCTGGGTGAATATAAAGAGTTTAGGAATTTTCTTCTTTGTATTGGGTTGTAATCAGCCCTCACCACATAAATTTCAGCCTTGGCCCTATTTCTGCTTTCAGGAGCTACATAAATAAATTTTATTTCTTTCTCCAGTCTTTTAGGTATTTAGTGGCAGCTTTTGTCCTCTCTTAATTTTCTCTATGCTGAGCATCCCAGTTTCATATATAATTCTTCTAGAGAAGTGATTTCATAGGATTACCTTTACCCCAATTATTTTCTTCACTGGTACCCTTAAAATTCAGAGCCAAGAATTAAGCAGCACGATCCAGAAAAGTTCTGACCCACACGTGGGTGAGAGCCAGGTCCTCCCTCAAGCTGCTGACTAGTGTTAGGAATGCCACCGTCAGCACTAAGAGCTATGTCTCTAGAAACAGGTGACTCTACTGGACCATTTTGAAATTGTGGTCTCCTGAAACCCCAACTATAATCTAGTTGCCCTTATTCTCTATATTTTAGATAAAAAATAATCTTTCTAAAAACAAAAGTGCCTGTTGCCCTCTACCATAATTGCTTAGCCCATCTCTCCAGCTCCTAGAAACCTTTCTGAATACTGCTGGTATTGTCATTAATTATGTTTTCTTCTCTTCCATGTTTTATGTCATCTACACGTGTAATCAACCTCCCCCCCCCCAACTTTATTGATAAGCATATTGACCTGTGGTTTGCCAAATATAAGCCTCCCTCTGTGGATTCATTATTCATAATTCTTCACCCAGTCTCTTCTTCACAACATCCTCCGACTCACACTTAACCTCGTGATCTACAGAACGGAGAAGAGCATGAGTACTGTGTTGTTTGGGGGCCATGCTTATTTCTTCTCCTTTTTTCTTTTACTCAGTCTCCTTTCCTCCAACTCTGCTTTTGTTTCATTCCTTCGTGTGCTCATATGGCATATCCTGCTCTCATGTATGCTCCCCTTTTCTATGTGTTCATTTGCTGTGGAGAAAAGAACATACGTGGTGCTTGTTGGGAGCCCTTTGTCCTCCGCCCGGTGCAGGGCTGGCCGCGCCTGTGCTGGCCCCAGAGGCCCCGAGAGTCAGCCCTGTGCAGGTGAGGTGTTTTCCTACATGCTCATTAGCACTTGGCAGAGGAGGAGGCTCTGATAATTTCATCAGCACCCCCAGGCCAAGTTACTTCTCTCCTCCTCCAGAATTTCTCAAATATCAAATGAGAGCTTAAAGAAAAATTAAAAACAAAGTATATTGTATTTGGATGGGAGGAGAAAGATGTATTAGTCTTTACAGACTTCACACTTTAATCTCAGCATTATTGTGTCTGTAACCAAATAGATCTTGCTGGGGAAAAAAAAAAAATCAAAACACGAATTTACCAACCACCCATTATCTAATGGAAAGATGACATGAGTATTAACTGCTTTGGGAGCCAAAAAATGTGTGGTTTTGTAGAAATGTCCTACAGAACATCTCTGAGAGATGTCACTAACTCTTGCTTCATCATCAAAACCTTTTACCTGAAAACAGTTCATGTCACACTCAAATAAGACTAAGAAAGGCACCTTTCAGGGTTTGCCCAAGTGATTTTACTTTTGAAAAGGCGTATTTATACAACTTTGTGGCCATTAGTATTGTGAAATAAATTAAATGTGGATCAAGATAAACAAGTAGAGCTATTCCCAAGTATGAAAAGTTGATTATGGTTTAATAAGTTGGGTATTTTGTTTACTGTTTTTGTTTGTTTGTTTGTTTTTAATGTTTAACCCCCTAATATAGACAAATCAATGTTGGCATTAAGTTATTTACCTAATTTAAAGAAAATTGTCTTGAACACAACTTTATTACTCTGTAGTTAGTTACCTTGCGGATGAAAGGGTTGAGCTCTGGAGGCAATAGAACCTTTGCAAACCCAGAGAGGCACAGATAATTTCAGCACAGGAAAGAGTATGGCAGGCAGCTGAATGATTATTGTGAGAATCCTGAGATCATCCGGGCCAGGTTAATAGGTACTGTAAGCCTATGATAACTCCTAGAGAGCATTAGGAAACTGTAGGTCAGTGTTCACAAAGCTAAGGTGAAAATAAGTTGGAATCTCCTGATAGTGGAAGGCACTCAGCCAGTGTGTACCGAGGGACTATGGTGTGTCGGACCTCCGCGGGAACTATACTATCCTTATAATCTTGAACAAATGTAATCTTCTTGGAGGCCAAATTTCACCATCCAGGTATTTATCTTATGGAGTTGTTGTGAGGTTAGTGATTCAGGTATGTGAGACTCTAGTAGTGATTAATTGGGTGGTTTATGAACTCTTCCTTTCCCCTTAGCATTTAGACTTCTTTTTTTCCTCCATGTAATTTGCAATAACATGAAAAAAGTTCCTTTTGTTAATAACAAACGTCTCTCTACAGTCTTGGGTCAACAGGAATTGTGAGTGATCTGTGTTTGCAGATCAAATTAAAGTATTTAAATATTATTACAACTGATCAAATATTTTTGCAAGATAATCCACCAAGCCCAAGGATGCCATTCTTTGCCAAAAAGCACTGTGAGGCTTGCTAACTGCAGTACGTGAAAATCCACTTTTTTTTTTTTAAGTTTCTTTGTTTCATAGCAAGCATGAGCAGTGACTTTCTTTCATTTATCAATTCTTACTGATACATTTTTCAGTAATACTTATAAAAATCTCATAAACCAATTTTCTAAAATGTAAAATATGTATAAAATTTCTTTCATGCACAGAGTGTCAGCCCATATGATGTTTTAACAGAATAAACTCATGTGAAATTAACGATAATTTTGCCCATTGAATATGGCTGTAGTAGTTGTCTTCTGATTTATATTCCAAATTTGAATTAATTTTGAAAAAAAAAATCCAAATATACATTCTTGTGGAATGTCTAAAAATGTATACAAAATTGTTTGTTGCTTCATCAATTTCATCAATCGTGTATGTAATAAATATTAATGAGCACCTACTGTTTGCCAGACACTGTGTCTGGGACCCCAAAGTGAAACTACATAATCCTGACATCAGGACATTTGCTCTCATGAGAAAGATGTGTAAACAAATACAGTTCTGTTGGGTGACTGATGCAAGAGAAAGTGATTCAAGAGCAGAGGGGAAACATGAGAAAGATCTAGGTCCCTCTGCTTGGGGAATCAGGGACCTTCAAGAGGAGGCAAGCTGAGACCAGAAGGATGAACGGCAGAGTATCAGGTGGGTGAGTAGGGAGAAGCTCTCTGTCAGAGAACAGAACAGAAAAGCGTGGAGGCTTGATGGAACATGGGTGATCAGGGAATGTGGAAGAGTAGGTTGTATTGTTAAAGAGTAAATTACTGTGAAAGGCAAAACAGGAAGGGCCTGTGAGAAATGAGGCCAAAATAGGTAGGGAGAGGCCAGCTCACTTAAGCCTGTGCAGCAGGCAAAGGTATGCCAATGTTTTTTCTCTCTGTAGGCGGTGGGGGAAGTTATTGAAGAATTTTGAGTCCAGAAGTTTCATAATCATATGGGTATGTTCCTATTCCCAATAACAATATTATGATTCTTTTGTTATTTACAAGTTACAGAAATGGCAAACAGCAATCCCTTTGTTTCTAGGGGTTTCAATGGTTCTCCTTGTAATAGAATTCAGGGATGCCAAAAGAAATATTTGAACTGAAATGATATATCAGAATTACAATAAGAGCTGTGAGCAGATTTTTTAGTTAACAGGTTTTTAACAGGTTGTGATGCAATTCTTACTGGAGAAGATGACCTTATGGAAGGTGGCCTGCCTAGCATGGAAATGTGACTAGGTATGCTCCTGTTCCTTGGTGAATTAAAAGGTTTACGTGGGATTAGATTGTTGAGATTCTTGGAGAAAATACATATATACCAGCGAAAACTTTTTCTTTATTTCTAGCAGCAAAACAGTGAATCTGTCAGGATACATTTCATTTAAATCAATTTGTATAATTTCAGGGATTAAACATCTGAGAGGCCAGAATGAATCAGCATTCCCTGAAGAAGAAGAAGGCGTCAGTGAAAGAGAGAAGCAATGGGACCATTAATTACGGGTCTGCAGCAAGAAGGCTTCTTGGGAATAACTGGACTATGAACTTTTCTGAACAACCCTTGGCTTCCAGAAGCATTTTCCATCTCTGCTCTCCACATACATACAATAGTAGTACACCTCCGGGGAGGCCTCCTTGACTGAACTTGAGAACTAAGCACAGCTTGTTCCATATCACTTACAATCATTTACTTTACAATGATTTTTCTTTTTAATGACACTGACATTTGCAAACATATGAGTGTTCTAACTTTAATATGCTGAGCTTAATCCCTGATGTTCTACTGACATAGTTTGCCTTCTAAGGTCAAGTGTAAATAACATCAATTTAAGAGTAAAAAATAAGTATTAAATACATTTAGACATGAATGTGTGTCTGAGTTTAACTTACAGAAGAATATTTAATGAATTTAATATTGTTAACTTTTAAGTTAAGATCTGTACATAATATTTATTTCAAAGTAATGAAGAAATGTCAGATTTCTTGATTCAAAAGACCACAATATATTAGTCCTTAGACTAGTTATTAAAAAAGAAAAATGCTAAATCTAAAATAAAATATGCAAAACCTGTCCTGCAACGTTTTTTGTTTATTATTTGAAATCAGCTATTTCCTATTGCATTTTAATTAATTATTAGCATTTTATAAATCTTCTATTATCATAAAATAAGAAATCCCATTAATTCATGCCTATAGTCTTTCATTAATTCAGCAACTATTTTTTACAAATTTATTTCTAGGAGGGCACCTTGCTGAGGGTTATGAAAATAAGGGAAAAATAATTTCTTTCCTATAGAACCAGCAGACAAAAAAAGCATTAGTATATAGCAAGCTTTTCTAAGACTATATATTTATTAAATATTGTTTTTGATAATTCAAAGTCCTTGCCTCCTGAACAATGTTAATTACTTATGGCATTTTAATGTAAAACTTTGGAATGCTCAGCTTGGCTCCCACACTGATGGTATTAGTGAGGTTCAAACGTTTCATGAAAAGATTTCTCAAAAGTCAGTAAAAAGAGAAATTAGGACAAGATGAGAAATATCAAACGTGAATTCCATTGTGGAATCTTAATATCAAAATTCAAAGAAATAATACTTAAAAAAATTTAAATGTGATATTTATAATATAGAGATTAAGAGAAAATGTGGGAATTTATAAGATACTATGGTAGAGATGATCATTTTCATTTTCTTTAGTATATTTTCCACAAGAAAATAAATGCAAAACACATGGATAAGTAATACCTAAAATATGAATAAGTACTCTATTTCCAAGTCCGTCCTTCCTTCCTTCCTTCCTTCCTTCCTTCCTTCCTTCCTTCCTTCCCTCCCTCCTTCCTTCCTTCCTTCCTTCCTTCCTTCCTTCCTCCCTCCTTCCTTCCTTCCTCCTTCCTTTCTTCCTTCCTTTTCTCCTGCGCCCTTTTTTTTTTTAAGTGAATTTCACCTAAAACTTTCTGGAGTTTTCAAACCACCTGCTGTGCCTGTTTGACTTCCTAAGTTTAACTTTACTGAAAACATGATTAAGGCACATATTTGCTTTAAGAGATTTTGAATTAATTGTGTTTGGAAAACGTCCCGATACTCCCTGAGATTATTTGAGCACTCTGAGGTGCTAAAAAACAAAACTGCCCTTCCCTTTCCTTGAACAGACACTTTTATAGATGCTTTTTCAAAAGATTCAGACAAACAAAAGAACCAACGCTTTTGCTGATTTTGTAACATCATTTGGGAAATAAACAGCATGGCTTCTGGATTCTTCTCCATTTTTAAAAACACAAAGAGATCGAAATTAAAAGCATAAATTTTCCTTAGAAAATGTTGGTTTCTTCTATTCTGTTCCCCATTCTCAAAACACAGAGATCACAATTAAAACCATAAGTTGTCCTGGGGAAATGTGTTGGTTTTCTCAGAAACTTGAAGGAAATCAGCTGAGATAATGGCTGTTTAGTTTCCTTTCACATAGTACTTACAGTTTACAATACAATTTTTTCAAGAAGATAACTTGGCTTCAGTTTGGCTGAATAGGCACAGAAAACTTCTAACCAAAACAAAATAAAATGATAACTTTATCTTTCCCAGACCACATTTATAATATAACATAATGGTTAGTACAGGGCTTTGAGTCACTCTGACTTGGGTTCAAATTTAACCTCTGACAAATTTAGACTCAGTTTCTCTACTTGTAAAATGGATACAATCATTCATATTCCTTCGGTTTTTTGTGAAAATTAAATGAGATAAGACCTATAAAATGCTTAGCTCAGCTTAATGAGCATTTAATTGGTGCATTTTATTATTATTATAATTATTATTATTGTCAGAAAGGACATGAGGCTATCTATCCAAACCTTATCTAATACATGATCCTCTTCAATATCACAAACGAGTGATGGATCACCTCACTTACTCTTGAATAACTCCAGCTGAACCCCAAACCCAGCCAAAGAGCTCTAATTTTTCTTTTGTATGTTAGAATCTCTTTCTCCTACATTTTACCTCCTTTCCTATATCACAGCCATTCAGATACTGAAGAACACTCTGATGTCCTAAATGATCTCATCTCTGTGCTAAAACATCACCAGTTCCTCCCAACTTTTCTGGTCATCTTGACCACTGGCTTTCGAATCCTCTGCCATCGTGTATACTAAATCTAAGAAAGGTTATGTCTGGTGGAAAAGTTGAGGACTGCATTTTTATCTCCCAGAACTTGAGAAACTGAAGCATAGAGTGTGGCGGGATTCTGGGCCAGAGTTCTTCCCATCACACAATAATTTGTGAATCCTTTTTTCTTCCCAGAGCTGTCCAGGGTAAGGGTCTTTATAAAAATCAAAATTTTTAGATTATTTTATGTTCTCAAAAAGATTTCAGCATCCATTTTAATTGTAATTCACTTATGCCAATATTTTCTGCATTATGGAAACAAATTATTTTAGGTTGGCCATGGGAATAAGATATTTTTATTTTTATAAACATTATTATACTATAAGTTGAAAAAGATGCATAATTAGCAACCCCAAATTTACAATTTTATGGCTATTGTTCCTTAGGATGAGGCAAGCTTAAAGTGTGAGTATGTTTTAAATCAATTTAAAGAAAAATATTAAATAACTACAGTAGAGGTTGTACCTCAAAATCACAAAATCACAAAAGATATACAATTGAGTGAAATTTTGGAAAAACTGATTTTGGGTATTGTCATAGCAAATAACTTAAGTGTAAGTATTTCAGAGTTCATGTAATTGCAATATGCATTTATAAATGAATAAATAAACCACTTACATTGCATTAATTTAAAAATTCTATTTTCTTTACCCACATATAAAATCAGTATAAAATTTGGCTGGATAAGGTTTGGATAGATAGCCTCACTCTAATAATAATAATAATAACAATAATAATAAGCAGCAATTATTAAGGTATAAGTGCAAAGTGAATAGAAAAAGCACAACTAGCTACTTTAAAATGTTCATGCTTATATATAATTTTGAATACTTGCTCTTCCTAAAGAAGGAGGATGGGGGAAGAAATGCCCTTACTTTTCTAAGTCCTTAATTTCACAAACCAGTTCCCAAAGCTCCAGCAAGTATATTAATCATTAAACATTTTTATGTGGCTGAAATGTGAACTGTGTTTAAGCAATTAATTATTAGATTTCATAACATCATAACATTCCAAAGAACTAAATACCAGAGGAAGAAGTGCTTCAGAAAATTATGGAGGACATCGTGGTTCTAAATGACACTGTAAGTACTCAAGGTGTGAAACTGAAAATATCGTACATAATTCACCCAGAAAGGGGGGGTAAGGTTTCTACTTTGCCATACTCTGCGAATTCACTGAAATAATCTATCCGAATGCACAGGTGCCTGATTGCAATTGGTAAAGAGGCTGCCATTCAACTACAGCTCCTCCCTTGACCTTTACATCGCGAGGCCCCCTCACTTCACACGCAGACATTGGTGCGGTCACCTTCCTCATTGCGTTTCATACTTAGCTTGTGCAGATAATGGAGACTGCACACAAGAGTGGATTAGAGAGAAGAGTAGGAGAAGGAGAGAACTCAAAGAATTCTGGAAACGTGATGAAGAACCTGGAGAAGGGATACTAAAATGGTATTGGATTCATCTTCATTTTTTGTTTTTCACTCTACAAATATGACAGCATTTTCTCCCTTTTCTCTGACCTTTAGTAACAAGGAGGCTAATTTGGGGGAATGAGCACAGAAATATATTACACTACCATATAAGAATTCTAAAAGTAACAGAATATTAGAGTATGTTCCGCAAATGATTTTTCATTATTATCCAGAACAAGCATTTGGCTTCAAATAATAGAGAACCCAGCACACAATGGCACAGAGGTCTGTTTATGTCGTGCAAGAAAATGTCCATCACTGAAATTATGGCTCAAGTTGCTAATGGGCATCCAGATACTTTACATTTTTCTTAACATTCTCAAACTTGTTATTTTGCAGTCTCACGAGACCTGTTGCTCTAGCCTTCTGGTCTGTTCCAAGCAAAAAGACCAGTGGGGAAAGAAAGAGAAAGGGTCCATAGCGAAGAAGCAAAGCCATCCCAGAACCCCTCAACTGATGTCTCATTGGCCAGAACTGTGTCACAAGACCACACCTTGATGCAAAGGATTGGAGAAAGTAAGCATTTTTAACCAGGTTCCTTGCCACCTTCCAATTACATTAAGGGTCTCTTTGTAAGGTATAAAATGATCATGGTTATCAGTTAGGCAGGCAGCAGCGTCTGATTTCCAAATCAACAGAATTCAGGAACTTCTCCCCTGGGGCATCTAAAGGAAGGACAGGCTATTTAAACATCTTAAAAAATTTTTTTTTCTTTATTGGTTTTAAAGAGAGAGCAAGGGGGGGAGAGAGAGAGAGAGAGAGAAACATCAATGAGCAAGAACATCTATTGGCTGCCTCCTACATGCCCCGTACTGGGGATTTGGCCCACAACCTGGCCATGTGCCCTGACCGGGAATCGAACCAGCAGCATTTTGGTGCATGGGTTGATGCTCAACCACTCAATCACACCAGCTGGGCTATTTAGACACCTTAAAGAATTGAAAACATTACTTTCACTAGATAGTTTTGCTTTTTAAAATGCATAAATTTGGTGATGTTTACGATAGACCTGAAGCTAGATAGAACAATTTAGACATCCTTGGTTATTCTGTACTATTTTTAATGGAATAATTTGGTGTAGTTTTTAAAAGTCTACATTAGAAACAATAGACCACTATTGTAGTTTGTTATTCAATAAATCTGTATGAACTCCTAGGGCATGCTTGACGTTGTTTAAGACAATCAGCGGCTCTCAACCTATGGGTTGCGACCCCTTTGGGAGTCAAATAACACTTTCACAGGGGTCGACTAATACATAACAGTAGCAAAATTACAGTTATGAAGTAGCAATAAAAATAATTTTATGGTTGGGGGTCACCACAACATGAGGAACTGTATTAAAGGATCGCGGCATTAGGAAGGTTGAGAACCACTTAAGTGGTGAGAATTCTGGTGTTAACAAGATAGTTAAGGCCTTTAAATCCATGGATGTATATTCTCGTGTTTGAAGACTGTCAATATATACATAAATTAATAAATAAATAAGATTATTTCAGATAGTGATAAGTTCCTGGAAGAAAATAATACAAGGTGATGTGGCAGAGGGTGGCATCTCCTGTTTCGTAGCTGTGTGACCTTGGCAAGCCCTTTAATCACTCTGGGACTCAGTTTTCTGATCAGTAAAATGTGGAGAACAATAGGGGTTGGGGGAGTGGGGCGGGTGTCCAGCTAACCCTGGGAGGCTCCTTTAAATTCTAAGATCTATGTTTTTCCTCTGATTCTCTTTCAGGCACTGCAGGCAAGAAACAAAGGAGAAAAAAAAAAGATAGGAACAGACTAAAAACAGCAGTAGTAAGGGAAGGTGGAATCCGAAGAGAAAAGGGGTATGTTGTGTGCTTGTTGGACAGCCAACAGAATCGTTGGTGCTAGAGATGCGCACATGTATGTATGTGTGCATGTGGTAACAACAATAGCACTGCAACCAGTTATGTTTTCTGTCTTTAAAATTTCTCCTTAGAAAATGATCAGGGTTTTTTTGTTTGTTTGTTTTTAAAGATTTAAAAGTCCTTCCAGGAAAAATATCCTCCCACTAATCACTAATTGGATAATGTACTGGATGCTAGCACGCAGCATTGCTGCTATTAAGTGCTGCATACCAGATTTTTCCCTTTACAGAGATTTACGTGACATGATGTTACACCCTCTGGAACACTTCCACTGGGTTCTGGAGTACTTCGTTATTTTCTTTTTCTCCTCCAGGTGCAAAACGGGTTGATAATAACCAGAAGCTGACTTGTCAGCACTGTGCTCCTACTTGAGCTTGGAAAAATACCAACACAAAACAAACACCACCCTCCAACTCCATCTGAGTGCTGTTTCTCCCCCTGGATTGCTTTCTGAAGCACTTCAAACATTGTGTACATAAACATTGACTTTTTTTTTACACTATTTGCTACGTTCCTCATTTTGGATTTATTTTCCTATATGGCTAAAAGGAAGATCTTAAACTTGAGCCAATTTTAAATAATTCATTTTCTAGCCTTTTTCTACAAGTCTTTCAAATGTATTTTCTTATGTGTGTGTGTTTTTAATTATTGTATTTATGTGTTTGTTTATTTCAAATTTAACTAGTCTTGAATCAGTTTAATTCCATAGATATATATTGATAGTTCATTATATGCAGGCTAGTAATTTAAACATCAGAGTTATAAAAATGAAAAGTTATTATCTGTTTGAGAAGTTGAGATCGTTTTGGGGTGGAAAAGCCCATCCTCCTTAGGAACCATAGGCCTGTGAATTTTCTCAGAGCGTCTTACAGATCGACCTGGAACTAAACTTTCTACATTTCAGAAATAATGCAGAAGGGGTAATTTTGCTAAAGAGGCTGGAGTGGGATAGAGAACCTGAGTTCTACTTTAATTCTTTGGCATGGACTTCAAACCAAAATGACCTCTGACCAATAAAGGAAGCGAAATGAAACTCTTTATTAAGTATTTGGCTCATGTAAAATCTATACTTTAAAAAATAACCTTTGATATTATAAAAAGTGAGAGAATTGCTGAGTTTATGACAACCTTAAGTACAATCTTTACTTAAAGAACAAATCGTCAGTCTTTTAAAGTAGTTTCATTTTCTTCATTTCTAATAAAATTAAAAATGAAAATAATTTTATAATTATTATTATTTTTATTATTTGTACCCTTCCCCATGCCCCCCTGGCCCTAGTATTGGAGAAAGTATCATTTTTTTTTTTTATCCTCACCTGAGGACATTTTTTTCCATTTTTTGTTCAGACAGAGTGGGAGGGAGAGAGAGGAAGAGAGAGAGAGAGAGAAACATCGACATAAAAGGGACACATCATGTGGCTGCCACCTGCACGACCAACCAGGGCTGGGGACAAACTGCAACCGAGGTACGCACCCTTAGTGGGAACCAAACCCGGATCTCTCTGAACCGCAGGCTGACGCTCTAACCGCTGAGCAAAACCAGCCAGGGCGAAAGTATCATTTTCATTCAGACTTTGCATTGCTAAAAAATTAAAGATACTATAAACAAGCATAATTACCCCAGACCTAAATACATAATTGTGGAATATACTATGGGCATTAAAAAAGCAATATGATACTTAACAAGGAACCATAGAGAATATTCTGATTGCTGCTCTCCTCAAGCTAACTGAGGAATGATCTTCACTGGAATTTCAAAACAATATTTTTCTCAAAAGTAGTGATGGGACATACCACTTCCAATTATGGCACCTTGGCTTACTGAATATTTCAAGCCAAAGGAATTTGAGAAAATGGCAGAAGCAGGAAGGTCAATTTGATCCCAAGCCCCTTATGAAACAGGCCATAAAACCCTCATGAGAGAGGTGTGCTCCCTATACCTGGAGGATAGCAATATCCTTGCCTCTGAAGACAAAGAGACTGATAAAAATCTGGGCCAGCAGGCCTAGGTACGTTCCCCCAGCCAACTACACTTACCTGGTGCTCCTTAAGCTATCACAGTCCTCCACGACTATCCATTCTCTATCATTCCTAGCACGAAGGTACTCCAGTCTGTCTCTTCAGATCTGCAGTTTCTTTTGAAGTCTCCCTTGTCATGTAAACTTACATTAAATAAATCGGTATGCTTTTTTCCCTATTAATCTTTGTCAGTTTAATTTTCAGACCCAGCCAGGAACGTTAGAGGGCAGAGGAAAACTTTTCTCCCCTGCAGTAGCAAAGGTATCACATGGCTTTGTATAAATCAAAGCAATAAAACAATAAGCACTTAAAAACAAACAAACAAATAGCTCACAGGTGGTTGGTTCAACATAGCTTTAATAATAATAATAATCCTCTCTTTCTTCTTGACTTTATAAAAGAGACAAGCACTCGGCAAGCATCGTAGTAGATGGGCAGAGTCTCAGTACGCAGCCCCTGCAGCATGGATTCTGTGGATGTGTTTCCCTTATTATGTTCCTAGATGTTGCTTTCATCTTTCTTCGTTTGTTTTAATAGGACATAGACTTTCCATTTTGAAATTTTTAGTTATTTGTTATATTTGTCAAATATTTTAAACATTAGATGGGTGTTTTATTTGCTTTTGAAAACACTCAGTAAGCTAAAATTTTAATTTGACATAAAGGTCAATGATGACTAAAATAGGAATTATTCTACTGAGTCCCAGTCTTCTGTATGATACCAAGCTTAAGCTCCACATTTTCACTGCCCGTATAAAGGGAGTTTTCATAGGAGTAGTTCATTGATAACTAAGTAAAAGAAAAAGTAATAATTTTATAGTATGGGCAGAATAAAATTAAAAATTAGACATTGTCACCCTGGCTGGTTTGTTCAGTGGTTAGAGTGTCGGCCCGCAGACCAGAGAGTTCTGGGTTCAGTTTCCGCTAAGGGCACGTACCTCGGTTGTAGTTTGTCCCCGGCCCTGTTGGGGTCGTGTGGTTGGCAACCAGTCAATGTGTCTCTCTCACGTCGACATTTCTCTCTCTTTTCTTCTCTTTCTCCCTCCCGCTCTATCTGATGATAAATGCAAAAATGTCCTCAGGTGAGGATAAAAAAAAATTTAGACATTGTCACCCTAAACTACAAAAATCTGTAATGATATAAAATAATTTAATGTGTGCCCTGGCCAGTTTGGCTCAGCAGTTAAAGTGTCAGCCTGCGGTCCAGAAAGACCCGGGTTCATTTCCCACTAAGGTCATGTACCTCGGTTGCAGTTTGTCCCCAGCCCTGGATGGTCGTACGGGTGGCAGCCACTTGATGTGTCCCTTTCATGTGGATGTTTCTCTCTCTTTCTCTTCCTCTCTCTCCCTCCCACTCTATCTGAACAAAAAGTGGAAAAATGTCCTCGGGTGAAGATAAAAAAATGAAAAAAATATAAAAAATAATTTAATGCAATATTTTGGGGAAAATGTAATTGCCAAAATTAATAAATTTTATTTAAATCACAAGTAAAATTGTATGCTTTTTTCTATTAATCTATTAATTTTTTAAATCTCTTTTTTAAATATGTTTTTATTTATTCATTTATATTTAGAGAGAGAGGAAGGGAGAAAGAGCTAGAAACATCGATGTGAGAGAGATACATCCATCAGCGCCTCTTGTACACATGTGCCCTGACCGGGAATCAAACTGGGACCTCTCAGTCCACGGGAGGACACTCAGTCCACCAAGACATGCCAGCCGGGCAAAAATCTCTTTTTCTTTCATTGTGTAATGTGGTTGAAATTTTTTTCCTATTGAGAAATGTACATGTGTGTGTGTAGAATTTTTATATATGTGTATACATGTATATATACATTTGTATGTATAGAAAATATGTATGTGTACAAATGTGTGTATATACATACGTGTATATATCTATATAGATATATAGGTGTATATATATAGATGTGTTACCGACTCTGATATAAGAGAAAGCTTCTATAAAAAGAGAGAAGAAATTTAACCCATATGCTATTTAATTAAGCACAAAGTATTAAAACTTGGTTAAATGAATACTTCCCTAAATGATCACTTCCAAATTATCTTCTATTCAGGAAGAGCTAGGTGAGAATGGAGGGAGACCCCAGAATAAAGTAAACAAAGAGAAGAACGTGACGCCCTGCAGGAGGGTGAGGTGAAGAGCGTGGCCCAGGGCAGGTGGAGAGCAAAGCAGGCGAGGGCCCCAGGGCGGCGCGCGGCTCCGGTGCCGGTGCCGCGGTCCGGGCCACACAGCTCGCTCTTAGTAAGCTCCCGCCCACGCTGCCAGGTCATCTGCATCTGAATGTGTCTTTTGCACCGGGGCTATTTCTAGCAGCCCTTTGTTCTCGGTGGGTTTGTTCTCGGTTCGGTTTCAATGTTGAGCCACTTGGCCTCTAGACTGCATTTGCCTTATTAATTTAGGGGAAGAGTCTGTTCTTCTCACAAGGGCAGTTCGCTCCTTTCTTTGTTTTCTTTCCAGAGAGACTTTCTTCTGCTGCTGCGGAAGAGTCTACGAAACTGGTGGAGTTTGCTGGGGTGTGTGCCTGTAGTTTGCTTTTTTTCTTTTTTTTCCTGTGTCTGTGAGTCTTTTTTAAAAATTAATCTTTAGATTTTAAAGTATTACCGATGTCCCCCTTTGTAGTTTTCTTTTTTGAGTAACTGCTGCTGTTGCTTCACCATGTACCTGGATGTAGAATAATGTGTTTTATTTAACAAAGCCTTCTAGAAAGTCTAAAGTTTCTTTTATTTTTAGGCTGATATTTTTCTCTTTACTGGTTTCATGGAAATTGTCCCCTAATATCCAATGTCTACATGATATATATCAACAAATATATCTGTAGAGCTATATGTATATATATATATATCAATTTATATCTCAATCAGTCCATGTCTATATATGTAATTTTGCCTTTCCACTCCCCAAGAAGGACATGCATACTGAAATCAGTGATAACACCGTCTTTGCAATGGATTGACTGGCCTCCTTTCCACGTGGAACACCCTTCCCATCATGTGGACTTGTAGGATATTGCTACTGAAGTTAAAGTCATGCTATGGTCCTGAAATGATGAGTCTGAAGTAATCTTAAAGGAAGAGAATGGAGTTCCTGGTTGATTCCTTTATTTTATTTTATTTTATTTTATTTTTTTATCCTCACCCAAGGACAATTTTGCATTTATCTTCAGATAGAGTGAGAGGGAGAGAGGGAGGAAGAGAGAGAGAGAAACAGCATGTGATAGAGACACATCCAGTGGTTGCCACTCACATGACCCCAACCGGGGCCAGGGACAAACTGCAACCGAGATACGTGCCCTTAGCGGGAACCAAACCCGGGACTCTCTGGTCCACGGACCAACGCTCTAACTGCTGAGCCAAACTGGCCAGGCTAGATTCCTATTATTATAGCTCTTACTATTTCAGTTTTTCTTAGGTGTCATTGAATAGTCTCAGCAACTCACATGAGCCATTTCACTTAA